AGACTCGCTTGAGCCCAGGAGTTGGAGGTTGCTGTGAGCTGTGATGCCATGGCACTCTACCCAGGGGGATAGCTTGAGGCTCCGTCTCAAAAAAAAAGCTATAGAATTTCTCTAAGCTTCCATATTCTCTTCTATAAAATGGGGATAAATATATTATCTCCATTATTATTTAACGCTGTATTATAGATATTAGCCAGTACAATTAAGAGAAATCAAATCATGGAATAAGAATTAGAGTCTTATAATATTGGCAGATTATATGAACACATTATGTAAAACCCAAGAGAATGAACAATACAACTAAATCAAAAAATAAAGTGATTAATTAAGCATATAAAACCAATACATAAAAATCACGAATGAAAACTTTAATAGCGGCTCAGCGCCTGTGGCTCGAGTGGCTAAGGCACCAGCCACATACACCTAAGGTGGCAGGTTCGAATCTAGCCTGGGCCCGCCAAACAACAATGACAGCTGCAATAAAACAAAAAAAATAGCCGGGTGTTGTGGCAGGTGCCTGCAGTCCCAGCTACTTGGGAGGCGGAGGCAGGAGACTCGCTTGAGCCCAGGAGTTGGAGGTTGCTGTGAGCTATGATGACACAGCACTCTACCCAGGGGGACAGCTTGAGGCTCTGGCTCAGAAAAAAAAAACTTCAATAGCAACACAAAAGGTTCAATCTTTATAATCAGCTAACAAGAAACACATAAAAATCTAAATAATACAACACTCCTGGAAAACACAAAAACAGACCTAAATAAATGGAAAGACATCCATGAAGATAAGTACATGAATAGGTATTTGTGTATATACATATACATACATATGTGAATAAATGCACTTAGTATGACCCAAGTCAAAACACCAAGTTTTTTTTGTCTAGAACTAAAAAGGTAATTTTTAAATTCACATAGGAAAATAGATGTTGAATTATATAGCTTTGAAAAATTCTAAAAGGAAAAAAAAATGAGGGCTAGCTCTACCAGGTATTAAAACATACCAAAAGCCTCTATAATTAAAAGTAGTATGCTATGGTATATGAACAGACCAGCAAAATAGAATAGAAAATCCAGAAATAGACTCTAATATATACAAAAAGTCTGTATATGATAAAGATGGCTTCTCACACCTGGGAAAAAGACAAGCTTTTCACAGAAATGATACAAATTGAGTAACCCTTATCTGAAATGTTTGGGACTAGCAGTGTTGTGGATTTGTGTGGATTCCAAATCCAGATTTTTTTGGATTTGGAATATTTGCATAATACTTACCGACTGAGCATCCTTAACCCTATACCGGAAATGCTCCAATGAGCATTTCCTTTGAGTATCATATTGGCATTCAAAAAGTTTCAGACTTTGGAGTGTTTCAGATTTTAACTTTTGAATTAGGGATACTCAACCTGTATTAAGAACAACTGGGTAGGTGTTTGGAAAAAGATAAACTTGATTTATACCTCTCAGTAAACTTGCATTATTAAAAAAAATTCAAATGTTGGGTGGCGCCTGTGGCTCAAAGGAGTCGGGCACTGGCCCCATATACCAGAGGAGGCGGGTTCAAACCCAGCCCCAGCCAAAAAACTGCAAAAAAAAAAAGAAAAATTCAAATATAAAAAGAAACATAAAAAAGTTTTAGAAAAAAGCATGAGAGAATTCCTTCATGTCCCATGTGCAACCAAAGGCTTTCAAAATATGACTAAAGATACATATGTAAGACTGATAAAATCTATATATAGAAAAACTTTTATTTTATTTTATTTATTTTGAGACAGAGCCTCAAGCTGTCACCCTGGGTAGATCACAGCTCACAGCAACCTCCAACTCCTAGGCTCAAGCAATTGATTCTCCTGCCTCAGCCTCCCAAGTAGCTGGGACTACAGGCGCCCACCACAACGCCCTGCTATTTTTTGGTTGCAGCCATTCAACATTTCTGGCAGGCCTGGGCTAGATTCGAACCAACCAGCTCAGGTGCATGTGGCTGGCGCCTTAGCTGCTTGAGCCACTGGTGCCAAGCCTAGAAAAACTTTTACACAGAAAAAAAAATCACGAACAAAATCAAAAGACAAAAAAATGGAAGAATATGTTTTTAATATATTATAGATAACCCTTCTGATATATAAGAACCCTAAAAGTTGAAAGGAAAAAGACAAAAAATAACAAAGACATGAACAAATAGTTCACAATAAATGACTCAAGTATAAAAACACACTTTTAAGGGTAAAAATATATTCAACTTCATTCATAAGAGAAATAAGAACTAAAACCAAATTCAGATATTGTGTTTTTAACTATCAGGTTGGCAAAAATTTAAAAGCCTGATATATATTTTGTTGGTGAAGCTGTGGGAGAAATAGGTATTCTCACACACTGTTGGCAGGAACAAGAAACGGTGAAATCCCAGTGGAGGGGAATTTCTATATCTAACAAAATTACACATGCATTTACCCTTTGATGCAACAACTCTATTCAAGGAACTTACCCTGAAGATATACCTCCAATAATATGGGGAAAAATGTAAAAGGTTATTTAGTGGTAAGAACACAACTTAGAAGCAACAATTAAAATGGGTGTGGTGGGCTTGGTGCCCGTTGTTCAGTGGTTAGGGTGCTGGCCACAAACAACAAGGCTAGCAGTTTTGAACCTGGCCTGGGCTTGTTAAACAACAATGACAACCACAACAAAAAAATAGCCAGGCGTTGTGGAGGGCACCTCTAGTCCCAGCAGCTTGGCAAGAGCATCGCTTGAGCCCAAGAGTTTGAGGTTGCTGTGAGCTGTGATGCAACAGCACTCTACCCAGGGTGACATAGTGAGACTCTGTTTCAAAAAAAAAAATAAATAAATAAATAAAAAATAAAACTGGTGTGGTGGCTCATGCCTGTAATCCTAGAACTCTGGGAGGCCAAGGCAAGTGGATTGCTTGAGTTCACAAATTGAAGACCAGCCTGAGCAAGAATGAGACCCTGTCTCTACTAAAAATAAAAAAATCAGCGAGATGTTGTGTGGGCACCTGTAGTCTTGCCTGAGCCCAAGAGTCTGAGGTTGCTATGAGCTATGATGACACCATGGCACTCTACCCAGGGCAACAGAGTTAAAGTCTGTTTAAGAAACAAAAAAAAAAAAAGAAGTTGTCAAATTGAATGTTTAAGAAAAAAAAAAAGAAGTCAAATTGAATTAACTATAACTATGATCCGTCCATATAAAGATTATATGGTTAAAAAAATGAAGATCTCTGTGAACTTGTATTCAGTAATTTTTAGTACATATTAAATAAAAAGGCAAAGTGCAAAATATTATGTAATATATATCCTTTTTTAAAAGGAAGAATGGGAAATAAAAATGTGTATATGTGTTCATTTAGGAAAAAAAGAAATAGAAGAAAATAAAAAATTAAATTCATTACTGTGGGGGTAGGTGGGTGAAATGGGATAAAAGATATAGTAAAAACAATGAGAATATATTTTTATTCACTTCCTGTTCCATGAATAGTTTTTTTGTTTTTTGCAGTTTTTGGCCAGAGGCTGGGTTTGAACCCGCCACTCTGGTATATGGGGCTGGTGCCCTACTCCTTTGAGCCACAGGTGCCACTCTCCATGAATAGTTTTAAACTTTTAAGTA